CCAGACATACAATCAAGCAGTAAACAATACCCTAATCAAGGAACTACCAGAGGGGAAAAAACAAAACAAAAGAAAACCCACACCCCAACCCACACTGGCAGGGCATGCCACGGTATATAAACAGAGAGCAAACTCTACTCCATTCTAGCACTGAAGATGTTACCTAGCCGGGTAACAAAATGTTTGCAAGAAAACAACCAAGCTCAGAGAACCCCAAGGACTCCACACATTTAAAGTTGCCAAGTTTGAAAAACACTGCCTCAGATATAGTAGTCCTTTTAATTTTGCCAGTTAGTTTTAGCATATCCTTTTAAGACAAAAACACTTGCCTTACTTAAAGTAGCTTGTTTTTTCAAGCAGCTTCTGTGTATTTCAAGGAATGGGAAACCGAAGTAAGGGAAAGAAAGGGCAAAATGGAATATACCTTGTCTTCAGGTGCAGCTCCTTCACTATTCCAGTTACGCAACATTTCTTCACTGTTATCCGGTATGGCTACAAAGCCTTTCCCACCGCCTGATCCAAAGCCGCAGGCCAGCAGTAAGAGAGGCACAACTAAAAAGGAACACAGTGCAGCAGTGAGCAACCAAATGCCAGGGGAAAAAACCTTGAGTGCATCTGCAAGTGCAACCTGATTCATCTCAAACATTCCACAGTCAGAACAAAATTATTAAAAATTTTCAGGACAGATGAGCCTCTTACACAATGATAAACAGGCACTTTTCCAGCTCAGCCCTGATCTTTGTTTTCTAACAGCTCAACAGTTTTTTTATATTCCAACGAGAAGAACAGAGCATCAAGTACTATCAGCAGAAAGAAACCTCTCTTCTTGCTTGCTTTTAAGTATCTTTCATATATTCAGGTTTCTGCACATTCCAGAAAGGTTAGATACCAATACAGAATTTGTTGCTAGGTTTAAAAACTAGCACCTTGAAACCCTAACTTTTTAAAATAGTAAGTATGTATGTATGTATGTGTATATAAATATATATGTGTGTGTGTATATACACACACGCACCTACATACATATACATACATATACACACACACACACACCCCTACTTATGAACGGGTTACGCTCCAAGAGGCTGTTCGTGAGTCTGTTTTGTTTGTAAGTCCAACCAAGTAAAAAGTAAAACAAAGAGGAGGCAGGAGGCAGGGCAGTGGTGTGGGCAGAGGAGCCCTGTCTTCTGCTGTCAGTGTGTCACTGGGTAAGGCAGGAGAGGGGGTGGTAGTGGAGGAGAGGGGAGAGGGGACAGAGGCGTGCTGCAAACAAACCCTTTCCTGCCTTCTCTCACCTTCCAGGAGGTTGGAGGTTTGCACTGGAGTTGGAGTTCCCAGAAAGGGTTAGTTTACATGGCAGGCTCTGTTGCTGGGTGAGGCAGAAGACCTCTGCCCCCTCTCCCTTGTCCTCCGCCACTGCCCCCTCTCCTGCCTCACTTGGCGATGGAGTGCACCGCATAAACTAACCCTTTCTGGGAACTCCAACTCCAATACAGACCTCCAACCTCCTGGAAAGCGGGAGAAGGTGGGAAAGGGTTAGTCTGTGGTGCGTGGCAAACTAACCCTTTCCCGCCTTCTCCCAACGTACAGCCCGAATTCCAGCCCGACTTCCGGTTCTGACTTCTGGGTCCATCTTGTTCATATCACTGAAAGTTTGCAACACGAACATTCACAAGTAGGGGACTGTCTGTATATATATATTTGGGAATAGCAAGATAAAGTCAGGACTGAGTGTGTATATACACATACACATACACACACTCTGCCCTGATCTGACCTTGTTGTTCCAAGTTTGGAAGCTTCTTAGCTGCCAATATGGATTTCTTAAGAAGAAAGCCAAGGATAACTTGAGCAAGAATCAAAGAGAAAGAGGAACAGCAGCTCCTAAATAGACAGGAATGAAAAGAAAACAATTACACCCTAACATTTTATGCCTTTTCTAATGTTCCATCCCACATTATATTCAACAAAATAAAAAGGTGGGTTTCTTAAATCCTATTTATTTCAGTAGGAATTAATTATGGTTGGATAATGTCTACAGTATTTCTTTTTTAAATGAAGTGAGAGATTTGCAAGCTCTTAAATGAAGGGGCCCTTGTGTCAGAGTCTCGTTTCGTGCCAATCATGCCACTAGACATTATGGAATAACATTAAAAGCTTACGGAGTAGCAACAAAAATGCCAAGATCATCAGTGCAACTGCAGCAGGTCCCAGAAAAACAGAGGAGCCGACAACTGTTGCCCTGCAACCACCGCTACTGTTGCAATCACAAACGTGCACCTCCAGAACTTGTTGGTCAGGACAGCTGAAGCCTTGGTTATCTTTCACTAAAATAGGAATTTTGTATATGCCAGGTATTACATCCTGGGGTAGAAGCTGGGCTCTGGATCCTTTGTAGGGAAGAAGAAAAACAACAGAGTTCAGCAAAGTAACTGAAATGAATGAAACCAGAAGTCTTGCTACCTTTGGGGTTACCATTCTGATATCTAAAGCAGTCTTCCCTAACCTTGCAGAATTCAGCTCTCAGGATTCCTCAGCCTGAATGGTCACTGGGAGCTAATCTGTACTTCTAAAGCACACCCAAGTTAGGAGAGGCTGCTTTAAACAAAAGCTTTCTTATTATCAGACAACTATATATTTCTAGATTCTGTAACTATTGCACAGTGTTTTGAAAAATTGCACATTCTGTACAAAGCTATAATTCTCTAAGGTGATTGAGATATTACTCTGTAATCCCATGTCCACAATATATTTGTGGAAGTTCAGTCCATTCAAAGTAATTCAGTCAGTCATGAGAAGAAAAGATTTCCTAGCCATGAAGCCTGCAGGCTTTGGATTGCCCTCCTAAACCTACTTTCCATTTAATTGGTGCTAAACATCTGGTCTAATCTACAATGAAGCAGCTCCACTAATATTTCTCTCACTGGCTTTGACCAGTTCTTCACAGTAGAATAGAAATCAGGAACATCTCCTGCCCACTTTTTTAAAGGAAAAGATAAAACTGTAGAGATGCAGTTCTGCTGCTTTCTGGTATGAGATCTGGCTATCAAGGTCAAAACGAAAGATGGATTCACACATGGTATTTAACCATGGCTTAGTGAGCGAACCATACATGGCTAAATTAAATAATAAATGGTGGTTTATAAATCACAGTGGCTAGTTCACATAAAATGTTTCAAGTCAAAACCAAACCAACCATATTCAGGATCAGTACAATGTGTGCACCAGGACAAAAAACCGCAGCGGCTTATCACTGCACAAATCTCTGTCTCAATTGTTCAGTGTAGGCCCTTTCCCCAGTAAGATGAAGTCCAGTTTGCTAGTTACTTAAAACAGCATTGGTTATGGCAGCACGTATTATGCTAACTGGTCCCAATTGGTCAGATAGCTCTTAGCTGAGCTATCTGACCAATTTTTGGTCAGAATTCCACCAGGGCTCTCTCTCATCCCCAGGAACAGCTACAAATGTAGGTAGGCAGCAAACTGCCAACTATTAATGGAATGCTTGCTGTAGACTGGGTTCATGCCATGCCAGCTTACCCATTCTTCATGGGATTTACAAATTAAAATAACTGGGTTCATGTATCTCAGCTGAGCTAAACCCAATCCAACCACATGACTGCTTGGCATGATGCGAGAACCAAGCCACAAGGTTCTGCTCTCATAAAACCTGTGGATTGGAGCCACTCCAATCTCTATATAATGTGGTATTGACTCTTACTTACCAACTACCTGACCAATTCTCCATTTGTCTGACATTCTTTCAGGTTCATCAATGATCTTGAAAGTGAAAGGGCCGCCATTTGGATGTCTATCTCGATCCTCAACGGTGACATTAATATACTTTGCATCAATACAGTAATTTGTTGTTGGAGACACAAGAATTGGGCAGTGATCATTTGTGTCTTCAATCTGAAGAACAATGGTACCCGTAGCTGTTTTTGGAGGGTAGTCTGTAAAGCACAGAAGGCACATCTATTTTTATACAAACTACTGATGAATTAGAAACTTGTTTGCTTCTTTAAGCATGTATGCGATTTTAAATGTAAGTCCAGTGTTTGAATTTTGAGAAGTTTACAATTCACCAGATTACATAGCTGGAATGAATATAAAATATAATTCATACGCATGAAAATGTTTTGGATTACTGCTATCGTGTTAGTCCATTCTCTGTAGTTAATCAATTATTCAAAAATTCAGAGCCTCAGATTAGATTGTGGTCAGTTTTAGATTAGTAGTTCTTGCTGTACAATGCAACTGTTTTACTAAAGTCTCTGCTCCTGCATCCATTTAGTATGAATGACACACTAGATATTCCACACAACATAAAAGTTCTATGATTGTACAAGGGGGAAAAGTGATCTTGGCTCTCTAGTAAGCAGAATGTTGTGAAATATTTTGATTGTGCATGACATGATAGAACCACTCTGCTTTTGTCCTCAGGGAATGGATTCACCTGGTAATGCAGTGGCAGACAACCAATGGAATCCAAATCTGCCTTGGTTAAAAAGGCAGCAGTTATTTTGCAGTATCTATGTCTGTTTTGTGGAATCTGGATGGCTACCGAGGGGGTGGGGGATGCAATTTAAGAAAGATGGAGTCAGAACCAGCATAGATGAAGTAGAGTTGGATTTACTTTTCTCAACTACTTTCTGCACCTATTTAGCAATCTGCACATTCACCAAGGCAAAGAAAATCAAAGAAATGGAAAGCTTAGAGAAGTCTCACTCTGAAAATCATTCTAGCCACTGATTTCTCTGCAGGTAGCTGGAAAAGAAAATTACCCTACATTAAAGCTCTCTCCTGGTTTGAGCATAAAGTAGCCATATTAAGGTAAATTACCATATTTTTCCGACTATAAGACGATACTTTTTTCTAAAATCCTTACGTTAAAAATTGAAGGGCGTCTTATTCAAGGAAGTCAGCCGAGGAAAGAACCGCGCGATTGCAAAACTGCCCATACTTTGTGTCTGCAAACAGGCTTCCTCCTATTGCTAGCCTTCAATCATGAGTGAAACAGCTTGAGTCTGCAAAAAGACTTCCTCCAATCCCAAGCCTGATGTTGCTGTTGGCAACTGATGCTGAACAAACCAATTAGAGGAAGTCTGTTTGCAGAGACAAAGTATGGGCAGTTTCACTCGTGCTTGAATGTAATCAGTTATGTAAAAGAGCGTGGAAATAGAGTTGCAGAGAGACGGTTTGGACCTCCTCCCACCGAGTGTATCAGGTAAATGTTACTTAATTACTAAATAAAAATGTGTTCTGCACTATTTTTAAAATATTGATTTCGTATTTTTGGGTTGGAAAAGTGGGGGTCGTCTTGTACATGGGGGTGTCTTATTGACAGAAAAAG